TCACATGATTAATAGCCATTATGTTGTAATTTTCATAAACAGAACCAATCTTTATTCAGCGTTTCATGACGCCTTTCACACTAACACGATAACACGGTAGTGACTTCATATTAAAATGATGGATATTTCCACTTATAAGTTAGTGCATCAATCAAAATCTGAAATGAAGTAACCATTTGTAAAGTTCAATTGAGTACACAAATAAACTTTATTTTCAACAACGCATTAATTTTAATGCGGTTTTAAGAAGTGTATTAACTTAATACACTTTTAAAACAGTGGTGAATCTATTATTCGGGAGATAGATAAAGTCACACGCAACAAAACATATTTTGACATGGATTTGAAATAGTATGAAGATGTTTTCGTTTGTTTTTGCTGGATAAAATCAAAAAAATCTTCTCGAATGAAGTGCAATCACCCTGTTGCATTCCTTCAATCTCTCACTGTTTCAAAACGGTATTAAATAAATATTTGTTTTCGTAGTGCCATTGGAGGATCTAGGATTTTCAAAGAGGAGAGTGATTCTGGGTAAAAATTGCTTTTTAGGGATCATTCAAGGTACACTGTAAAAAAAAGCGTGGAATAATAAACCTGCGTTCTAAGTACAAATTTTCATAAACCCTTCAAGGGTTTGTGAAAGCAAGGGTGCGTGAAAATAAAAAGGGTTTATGACTGCCAAAAAAGGGTTTATTATACTAGAATGCAGGGAGAAGGGTTCATTATTTTACCTCTAAGAGTATATTGTTCTACGGTTTCAGCGAAAGCGTTTATTATTTTGCCCTTAAAGATATATTATTCTACAGCTTCAGCTAAAGTAGAGGTGGATGTCAGACCAATTTATCGAGAACAGGAATATATAACGAACCTGCAGTTTTCACCTATTAAGTAATAGGGACATCCAAACATCTTTCTTTTTAGTTATATACAACACGAAATAGTTTTTGATACCAATCGTGTTCACAAAGCATTCTAAAAATGCCTAAAAACCAACAGCTGTTGTCATGAAACTTTGATAATAATTAAGAAAATCTGCTTGAAAATTAACCCGATTCCATATTATTTAGAAGCGCAAAAATAGGTTAATTTGCTCGATATTAAGATTTCAAACAATATTAATTCAAATTATCTTTTGTGCAGTAGATCTCTTTCTTGGAGACATCAGTCTGAATCTAGCCTTGATAAGAATGATTGCCGATTGTTAAGCAGTTTTTGAATGCTTTGTAAGTACCATTGGTTTTAAAACAATGTCGTGTTTTGCATAGTTTCACAAAATAAAATCTGAATGCTTCTCTTTCGATTGTTTGAAAACTTCATGTCTCTAGCTATTGTTATTCTCGGGATATTAGTCTTATATACATTCGTGTTTAATTTGAAAGTCAACAATAGGCAGACATAATTCTGCTCCACATCCTACGTATATGAATTAAGTTGAATAGTTGCTTTTCTTTGGTTGATATATAACAACTATTTGACTGTTCTGTCGATGAGCGGGTAAAGTAATATTTTTATATCTTTTATTCTTTCACAAATGCTAACAGCTCTCAGAAAGGTTATTGAGCTGAATGAAACTATTTTTCACTGGAAAATGATAAGCATTATCTTTATATACATGTTTTTCTGCATCATGAATACTGCAGTATTTTTCTTATAGTACAATGAAGCTTATAATGAAAAGACTACTGTGTTGAGAGCATCGAAACTGAATTTTATAGCTCTGAAAATGTAACATTCATTTTTCTATCTTTAACCATTCAGATGAACGACTAAAACAATGCTGTAGAGGCCGCTAATTTTGAAAAGGTTTCCGAAAAATATTCAGGTTTAAAAAACAGATTAATATATATATTAATGATTAAAAAAATTAGCTTATCGCACACTGAAACTTTTAACTTATCATCTCTCAATCTATCACATTGGAAAAGTAGTGGTAGCTGTAACAAATTCTAGACTTTCACATACGTTGAGAAAAGTCTCTCACTAGTTTAGAAAGATAATAAGTGTATCCATATATGCAGCGGAGTTCAGTGATTAGCACATATTTTTCAATGGATGACATATGAAAGGATACATCATCAGTCAGATCCGCATCTATCTTCCGAAAGCTAATGATAACCGAAATCTTAAACCTAAAGTGCCACTTGATCACTGAACAATCATGATCTGAATCGATGATCCACTGTCTTTTAATTGCGATTCAGTCTTAAGCATCATAAAACTTAAATTGAAATCTTTTTCGTTTAGTTTAGGTTTATTAGCTGAGCCAACTAATAGTGTGAGTTTTAAATGTACTAGATTATGTCTGTTTAATTTATAGATCGTCGAAAAAATTATTCAGCTCTAAGTATGAATCAGCTTAAATGAACGATTTTTTTTCTTATCTAGAATTGGGCCACTAATTTATATAACTGTTAGTATTAATACATGTATATAAAAAATTTGATTTTTGATTTAGATTTAGCACAATAACTTGTATAGCTGTAAGTATCATCTAGATAGTAAGTATAAATTAAACTTAATATAATTGATTTTTCATTTAGAGTTGGACTAACAATATATACAACTCTAGGTATTAATGCATTTTCATACAATATTTTAATTTTTGGTTTAGATCTAGCTCAGCAACTTATATAGCTGCAAGTGTCAATCACATTAAATTCAATCTTTCTTTTATTTAGATTTGGTCCAACAACTTATAAAGCTGTAAGCATGAAGTAAATTAAATATATTGAATTCTTTTTTTTTATTTAGAATAGATCCAGCAACTTATATACCTGTAAGTAATAATAAGACTGAATATATAACTTTACTTTTTTCATTTAGATCTGGCCCAACACCTTAAGCAGTTGTAAGCATAAATAAAATTAAATAAATAAGTTTATTTTTTCGTTTAGGTTTGGACACAGATTGATCGAAGTCGAGATACAAATTTTGATTCACACTGAAATTTCATAAACCTTTCACAAGGATTATGAAAAGGTAATTGGTTTTCATAAATCCTTATAAGAATTTATTATTCTACGCTTTTTTTTACAGTGTACAATAAGGATGTGACAATTTATATCATTTCCGAGAATAGGAACTGGTACATCACTTGAAACTAATCTGAAAGAAGCTGATCTCCAGTTCATTTCATAGAAATTGGAGCTCGTCACTAGTTCTTTATCCCAGTTTCACACAGTTCATGAGCTTGAACTGTCACATCCCTTTTCTGCAACATGCAATAGCTAATTTTTTTTTCTATACTTTATTTTGAAGAGAATAACTGTCCAAAAGATTTTATGCAAACATTTTCTTTCATCTTAAAATTTCATTTTTGATTTCGATTCGGTATACTAATGGTGTGCTTTGTTCGAGTTGAGATTGATGAAATTGATTATGTTTAAGGTAATTTTCGAAGGAAATACTTGTCAAAAAATCGATGTAATTAAAGATTGTTGTTTCTTTGAGATTTTTTCATAAGAATTGTTTCTTCGCGATCGAAATACAGCTGATTTAGAGTTAATCTAGATCTGACTGTTACGACAAAAGAGAAAATTTCTTGCTCATTTTTTATGGATATCATAGTTCATCATAATGTTGTTACTAATTTATAATCGAAATAAAATAGTATTCAATTTAAGACTCTCTTCATCAAGTTTGGAATTGAATACACATTCTTTTGTTTATTGAAGTCAATGAGAATATAGAGACAATGATGTTTGCTTCAATAGAATACCCTTCTGATTGTTTGTGCGGAATCACTTTCTTCATTACAATTGCATCTCACAAATTTCGAATTTCATTATATTCATGACAAAAAAAGGCTGGTTGACTGTTAAAACGATTAATAACTTAAAATATTTCTCTCTTTCTTTCGTTTTTTTTGTCTCACTTTCTAATCGTTATTCGTTAAATTGTAACTTTGTTGTTTTTAGATGAGCACTCAAGTGCTTCTTTTAATAATGCATACTCAAGTCACGAGTAATTATGAAACTCATACATGGATAGTTTTTTTTCTGCTCTAACGACGTATCTTTGTTTACACTCTCTTTTCATCTGAGCAAGTGTTTATTTCACCACGCACTTAAGCGCTTGACAACGCAAAGAAAATAATGCACGAGCATCATCTATGAATAAATCAAACAAAACGTAACAATGATGCCGTGCCAACAAACTTTGTCACGATGAACACATTAATCTGTGTATCGCTCTTGTATATTACATTTAAATCGTAAGAAAGGAAATGTTCTATTAAGGTTACCAGTCATGTTTTTCTTTTAAGTCGTTCATATTTCAATGATTAATGCAGAAAAGATGTGAATCAAAAAGATTTGAAAAGTTTTATGCGTAAATGAGAACATAGGTTCGATAGTAAAAAAAAATTAATCTTACGATATAGTTTAGTGTTTTGTGAAGTACAGTAATCTTACATTTAGAAAGAATGTAATAAGTATGTACTTTATTTGACCATTCTAGATTGAATCGATACTCAACAAAAAAAAATGCGATATTTCATTTGCTATTCGCCGACCAACTCCTTAAAACAGATTGACATAGTAGACGGTACTTGTGTTCGAGAAATCATCGATATAGTGCAGCGCGAATTCCGTCTCAGGATAGACATTGATGATCAAGCAAAAACATCAATTGTTCTCAATTACAATGGTTCGGATTTGAAGCCAACATCGTCCTTGATCGATTTGAGTATTCCACCGGGCGCTATTATTCACTGTTTACATCGTGAGAAAAAACCTGCTAATCTCTATATTCATTGTGGGTATAATAATCAAATACTCGAATTCTTCGATGATACCATCACTATTGAAACAACCATTGGAGAAATACGCAAGAAAATATCCGATAGAATTGGCTTTCCTTTAAGTACCTTCTGTTTGGAAATGCATGATACTAAACGACGTCTATACGATCAAATGAAATTGTATCAGTACGATTTAAAACTACACGATCATATCTATTTGAAAGTACGACATGATTATGAAAATTTTTTAAATTGCTGCATGAAAGGATTTCTAAAGCATTGTTCATATGATGATCTTACTCGACACTATCAACTGCAGATTGCTCTACATCTTGCAGCTTTCCACGGTAGGTATTCATGAATAATCTGATCTATTGATGTTATAGTCTTTCAAAAATAGGCTTTTTAGAATTAGGACATTCTGCCTTGCGATTGGGTGCACGAAGCGATCGTCCAGTTGGTGAACATCCATGTAGACAATGGTCGAGTGAAACAACGATACAAGATATGCCTGAGATGCTTAAATGTCCCATTCATGTAGCCATTGAACGAGGACATATGAAAATGGTCGATCTTTTTGTACGACAATCAGTTTTGTGTACTCAAGTTCCGCATCCAATATCTGGACTGTTACCCTATCGTATGGCATTATCATTGTCTATGTCATTGAAGACAAAAGTGGAAAAACAACGTTACAGTAAAATCTATTTTTATCTCCATGATAAACAATTCAATTTCAAAATTCCATTGAATGCTAGTGGTGGTCATAGTTCCAGTTTATTAACATCGACTTCGAGCATCAAGTCATTGTATCAATCATCATCACATCAAGTCTTTTTTTCTCTGCCACGTTACTATAAAATAATCAGGTTCGATATAACTGTTACATTTCGGACATAATAAATATCAGCAAAAATATATATTTCGTTCTTGCTTAGATGGTATGAACGAGCGCAAGAACGTGTTTGGAAAAAATACGGTGTTCACATCCACAATTCAATTGAAATCAAACGATCCTTTCAAAGTAAAGGTTTATTAGGTTATAAAGTAATGATCGATGGTTTCAATAATACTTTCGACGCCTCAAATGAACCGATTTGTTCTGTGACTTCCAGTAGAAAATCAAAATTAGATCAAACTGACCGATATAGCGATTACATCGATGAAGAAAATGAGAAGATACATAAAATGAAGGCATACATGGAAGGATTCGGTGCTGTGGAACGACAACGAACTAAACCACCAGCAGTCAACAACCTTCGAAAACTACGACATATCCCATTTTTATCTCAATACAGCTTGTTGGATGCAAAATTACAACCGATTGATCTTACTTCTATAAACTCTGCAGTATTTTTGGAAGGCATTATGTCACCGTCAGAGATCTCTAATAGTCAAGGTCCTTCGAGTTTTATTGGCCTAGATCATCAATGTTCGAAGTTCATCTTTGATATGGAAAAATCCTTGAATATTTCTAGGACACAATTGAACGCAGCCAATCCAGCAACATTCGAACCAAATAAAGGTAAGTTCTATTAGTTCGATGGAGAAATACCGATCAATCAATTTTCATAAGGAGAAATTCTAGAGAAATTTTGCTGATGATCAAGTAGTTCACAGTCACCTTGTACTATATTTAGATCAACATCTATGCAATCAAAAAACTCAAATAATGCCGAAAACCATTGGCAAAACTGTCGCCTTGATGCAAATACCTCCACCTGTCGCTGTCGTCAATGAAAAGAAAAAACAGGATCAGTATACTTTACCACCAATTTCTACATCACCTTCGAAGGTGCCAAAGATTCAGTCCATATGGAAACAAAAACTTAATACGATGTTCACCACTAATATAAATTCGAATTGTCAAGAGGAAATGTCTTCTGTCAATACTTACTTATTATCGCCAACTCATATTGCTGGCAATAACCAAGAACGAAAAATCACGGCTAAGTGTGAACAATTGACGCAAATCGAACAATCATTAAACAATTCCGTCGAGAAACCGACAACGAAAACGAGATCTTCTGTTCAGACCAATCGTAGTATGACTCTTAATATTGATTCCCATACATCACATCTGGATCATCAAACAAAAAAAAGTTTAAGTCCTATTCGGTCCCGTCACGATCGGGAAATTCAACAAGCAACTATCAAATCCTATGAGCGCTATGCTAGTGCATCGTTTCGCGCGACTGCCGTCGATTGTTTGAAAGAGGCCGAGGTTTTCAACCAAAAATCATGGCTCAAACAAATAGAGATCAGTAAAGAAATGGTCAAACATCGTGCTAAACGACGTATTCGACGAGCCGACAATGGAAAAATCAACTCTGTCTTATCACCTACGCAAGGCGTCGATAATGCGACTTCTTCGTGCATAAATCAATTTCCAACAATCAAAGCAAATTGAGTCACGCGTGATTCTGATACTTTTTCCTTTGTT